CGCTGGTTACATTCAAAGGACCCCGCGTTTCTGGGGACCTAGCTGAACCTTGGGCCTTTCTGGGTGGACCGGTGGCTGACTCACTGGGCTGCCGGGCTGTGGGTGACAGGCGTCTGAGACACCCTGGGAACTCAAGCTTTGCTTTGGAGCGCTCCATCATTTTACATATTTTCCCTAGAAGAACACATTCAGGTGCACCATTAGCTCCGTTTTTAGGATGAGGCCGCCAGCGTGTACTCAAGCGCATTCATAAAATCAGGATTTATCCAGGAATTTCCATGTCTTTGCAGGCTGCAGTGAGTTATTTCAACTGTATGCCTTTTTAATAAAAGCAGTTAGTGTTGTGCTGTGGAGATTACATTCTTTTGGCTTTGGAAAAATGTTTCCTGTTCGGTTCAAGCCATTAAGGCCTGTTAGGGGCTCACATCTGGAAGCCGGAGGGGAGGGGACCTGTCTTCCACCACCAGAATTGAGCTTGACCTGATCTACCCCAGACTTGTTTACTTCCTAGGGCTGCCTGGAGTAGGAACCTAAGGGGCTCTGTTGGGGGCTCTGGGGCTCCCTTCTGGGAAGGAGGAGGGAAGTCCTCTTTTCTGCCTGGTTTTGAATATGTCTCTTTTCCTACTTGGGCAACCCTCATTTTCATGTTCCCCTGATTTTCCATAAGGCTTGTGTGAGCATTTTCTGTATAGGCGGGAAGCTGTGGAGTTTTGGGATGGTGGCGTTTTCCTGGGGGTGGGGTATTTAGGATGGATGGGATGTCGTGGACCCTAGTTGCAGGGTGTCCCAGCCGTTCTCCTTGATGACTCTTCTTGCTCACGGGTAGAGGTCTGCAGTCAGCCTCATGTCTTAGAAATGAAACCCAGTGTTGGTACCAAATTATTGGTGAGTACTGATGTTCCTAGTGCTTAATTTATGTTCCTGGCTGCTCCCAGGCAACAGAAAGTGACCCCCACTTTCAAGATAATCAGGCTGGGCCATGTCTTGCTGACTCCAGAAAGCATTATGTTCTTGAGAAGACCTCCTCCCAACATCTACTCCTGTGACCTTTTGGAGAGGCCAAAGTATGACATTCTGTCCCGGGGACAGCCAGTTCCATGAGTTCTTTGAGGGGATCTTAACCTTCAGGGTCAATGATTTTATGATGTGAACACGTCATAACACATTTATGACATTTGTCCTGACCACATGCAACCAGAAAGGCTATCAGGCAACTCCTGGCATGTGCCTGGCTTTGGCCTTGGACGGGTGTCATCAGCAAACCCGATGAACGTCGGCTCAGCTTCTCCACGGGGCCAACTGATAATGGTCTTTGTCAGTTCTGCAATCCATACCTCACAAGGGGATTGATGCTCCAGATCTGATGAACACCTTTCCTAAAACATAGGCCCAGACACAATAAAAATCCAAGTCTGGTCTCTTTGTGGCCCTCACGCTGGTGTTCCTAGGGTGGGGGTAGATATTTTGAGAGCTGTCGATCCTGAAGCTGGCTCCCACAGGACATGTGTAGCATTATGGATACCCAGGGTCCAAGCAGCTCACCTGCTAGCTTTCCTTAATTTGTTGGCATGCTCACTGGATCTTGTTGCATACCCGTGGGAAGCCATATGACAAGTCCATGAAACAGCTGTTAAAATGGAAAGCTCAATCACCCACATTTCCTAAGTGCTTCCTATGGGAAAGGCATGGGCATGGGTCTTCGTGACGGGGGTGGGAGGGGAGCCGGGTTGTGCTTCACAAGCCCCAGCTTCTCTTAGGTGTATGGGTTAGGAAGTGACTGCCACAAGACAAAACTGAGGGACAGGTTGAAAGGGTTTACAGCTATAGGACAGGCCGGTCAGTGGCTAGGCCATGTCAGTTCCTATCCTAGGCTGAGGTGGTATTTGAATTCAGGCCTCAGTGACTCATGGAATCCTTGATCTTAGTTTTCAGGGCTCCTGAGGTGAGCTGGCTGTATCCGGTGAGCATTGAGGATGGAGTGGAAGAAATCTGAGAGTCAGGGGCTACAGGAGCCCGTTGGGGGCTCCTGTAGTGGTGGAGAGCTTTGATTTAAATAGCATGATCTGAATGCTTTACACAGAGTCTGGAATCAGATGGGCCTGGGCTCATGCTTTGTTGCTTTCTTCTATGAAGCCTTGCTCCATTCCCTACAAATCGGGGGCAAGCAGGATACAGTGAGAGAAGGTTGTGGGTGCTCAGCTGCCTCTTGGCAACTGGAACTCTGAGAAAGTTGGTTGTCACTGTTAATTAGGGATGGAACTTCTTAGATGGGTGGGGGGGTGAAGCCTGAGGCTCTCATGAGAAGCTGAGACCTTGGTCCAAGTGGGGCATGGATATGAGGACAGTTGCAGGCTGAGTTTGTCTCTGTGACAGATTTGAAGCACAGGCTCTGGGTAATTTGATGTCCTTTGGGTCCCTCTGGCTCCTGTGCAGGAAATATGACAATCTCAGTAAAGAATTAGGGCAGGCCTGCCTGGGCGTAGGGTCTGCAGGCCTGCCTGGGCGTAGGGTCTGCAGGCCTGCCTGGGCATAGGGTCTGCAGGCCTGCCTGGGCCTAGGGTCTGCAGGCCTGCCTGGGCGTAGGGTCTGCAGGCCTGCCTGGGCCTAGGGTCTGCAGGCCTGCCTGGGCCTAGGGTCTGCAGGCCTGCCTGGGCGTAGGGTCTGCAGGCCTGCCTGGGCGTAGGGTCTGCAGGCCTGCCTGGGCGTAGGGTCTGCAGGCCTGCCTGGGCGTAGGGTCTGCAGGCCTGCCTGGGCCTAGGGTCTGCAGGCCTGCCTGGGCGTAGGGTCTGCAGGCCTGCCTGGGCCTAGGGTCTGCAGGCCTGCCTGGGCATAGGGTCTGCAGGCCTGTGCAGTTGCCAAAGGTGTTGCTGATCATGTCGGTGAGGAGCCTGGACTTCCAGAGCACGTGGTTTTGTGTGTAGAGGGCACGTGAGTGTGAGCCTTCTTTACCAACTGAAGGTCTAGCTTTATGGAGACTCTTCCATTCTCTTAGTCATTGCTGCCAGTAAACCATCAACCCTTGATGTCTTTACTTTAAATATTTCTGACAGTGCACTTTTAAGAACATTCTGTGTGTGTGTGTTTTACACTCAAATGCTTTATAAAAATATCGACTAGCGGAAGGATGTCCAGTTTTCCTTCCGTATCCACTGGGGAATGGTTCAAAGACCACCTTTAGACATGCAAATCTACCTGTGCTCAAGCCCCTTGCAAAATGGCATATTTGTGTGCAGCCTATGCATGTTTTCCTGGATACCCTAGTCTCTAGGTGCCTTGGAATTCCTAATACAGGGAAATGCCATGGAAGCAGTTGTTATCCTTTATTCCGTAGGGAGTCGTGGGAAGGATATCTGTCCGTGTTCTGTTGTTCCCCCCTCCCCCATCTTCAGTCTGTGATTGGTTGGATCCATAGATGTAGAGTCTCCCAAAGGGAGGCTGTCTGTTTCCACTCAGCCATGGGCAATCTGTGTGTCCATGACATTTGCACCCTGGAAAGCAGGCCTGAGGGTTTGGGTGCATGCAACCAGGTCCCAATCCATTCAACTTGGCAGCTTGTACACCTTTTGAGTTCTCCCATCGGGAGCTGATTGGCAGAGGTAAAAATTCCTCCTGGGCAAGCTGAGTGAACTGAAGGCTTAAACTTTTTTGCTATCAACAGCATTTTGGATTCTGAGAGCGGCTTCCCAGAAACAATGGCTCTCCAGAGAGAAGAGCGGGAGCCTGAGACGCCACCAGAGCTCAGAGGTGGACGGCATGTCCAGATTCATCTCTGTGAGAAGGAGATAGGTGGATAAAGAGGAGCTGGGGAAGAGGGAGGACGGAGAAGAGAAAGAAAGGGGCAGGCAGCTGCTGCTGGGGTAGCCTGCTTCCCTCACAGGAGGAGGCAAATCAAAGGCAGAGATAGGGTGCGGTCCACGGAATAAGCTCTGGGTCCCCACGCACTTGGGAACATGTCAGCCACAGGCAGGCTGCATCTTTGCCCGCCGCTGAAGGGGCAACTGATTGCTGATTCCAAGAACTGGATGCTGCCAAACTGTATGATGATTCCAGGGGATCTGTTTCTGTCAGAGGTGTGAGAGGAAAGAGATGCTGAGGACGGCTGCATAATATCTTAGATTAGTTTCCCTGCAAGTGATGGTAAGGATGTGCTCTTTCATTCCCACAAGCCACTGCGCTCCCAGCGCCCAGGGAAAGAGAGAAAGAGGAGAATCCTAGGGACTTGTAGAGTGACTGTAATCTAGAAAAAGATTAAGTTGCTTGTGACAAAGATGTCGAAGTTCCAGCCAGCCCTTCTGTGCCTTTGAGGGAACCTGCTTGTGTTCAGGCCCCTGAGTGGACCACAGTGAAGGATGGGAAATCATCCAGTTGATGAGTGTATGGCCGGGGCTTTTAAATAGTCTAGGAGGGAATAGGCGAGCATAATTTTGATGGACTTATTTATTTTTTTGCCTTTATGTGTTTGTATGTGTTTGTGTATGTGCGTACTGATATGTGCCACGCATGTGGAGGCCAGAGGTCAACCTCAGGTGTCATTCACTGTCTGCTTTGTTTTTTGAAGACAAGGACTCTCATGGGCCTGGAACTATTGATTAAGGAAAGCTGCTTGACCAGAAAGTCCCAGGGGTCTGTCTCTGCCTCCCCAAGGCTGGGACTGAAAGCTTGTTTTTTGTTTTTTTTTTTGTATTTTTCAAAGGTAGGATTTCTCTGTATAACCCTGGCTGTCCTGGAAATTGCTCTGTAGACCAGGCTGGCCTGGAACTCAGAGATTCACCTGCCTCTGCCTCCCGAGTGCTGGGAGCATAGTCCACTACTGCCCAGATATGTGGGGTCTGGGGCTGGAACTCAGGTCCTTATATGTGCACGGGAGGCCCTTTCCTGAGCCATCTCCCCAGCCTGGATTACTACTATTAAAATAAACTATTTCTTAAAAAGCTTGAACTATTAACTTTTCTCTTAGTGACAGAGTACAACTAACTCTATCCTGCCCTTTTCTCCTACAGAGGCTTACCCCGTGGATATCCTGGAGGATGACCCCGAGGGCCATCAGGCAGCAACAGAGGTTTGCTATGAGTTGCTCAGGGAAGGAGGATCAGCCAAGGTTTTTTCCCTTGCCACTGGGGAGCAGGTATGTCTGGCTTTCCTTGGAGGGGCACGTTCCCCAACCTAAGTCAGAAAGTGGGACGTTATGGAAAGGATATCCAGATTTAGAACAAAGACCAACAAACAAAAAAAAGAGAAACTTCTGGAGGGACTGCTGAAGTGATTCCAGATTGATGGAGAAGGACCCCTTTGCTGGGATTCTGGAGTCCTGGGTGGGAGTGTGGTCACTGTAGGCTGTGGGTCAGAATACCTGTGGAAATCCCATGCCTGCCACTTCTGAGTGCTGTGGACTCAAGCACGTGCCTTCTCCTCTCTAGTTTTGGTGTTCTCATACCAAACTGAGAGCATTAATGTCACTTTCCTCATTGGGCTAGCATGAGGATGAAGTGAGATACTGTATGTAAGGCCCGGCTGGACCTCAGTTTCTTTGTGTTGAAGCGGGGGAGTGGCTCCTCTCTCCTCTCTTAGGTTTGGGTCAGTTCTGATATGTGATTTGGGATGAAGCCGTGTCACTTAGAACTTTTGGCATTGATGAGATTCTGTGCATTGTGAATAGGTACTGCAAGGGGATACAGGGAACTGGAACTATTTGTTGGGGTTGGGTGTAGCACAAATCTTAAAGGGTCTTATTAATAAAATCAAACCTGGAGCCAGGTATTGGGGTGAACGCTGGAAGATCAGAGAAGCAGAACCAGCCACAGCCACCTCACTTCGCCAATTCCTCAGCTGATCCTGTTTCCTCAGACTGGAAGCCTCTGAGTCCTCATCCAAATGGATCTCCTCTGAACTGTGCTGCTCAAAAGCCTAAAATCTTAACCTAAAAGTTCTAACTTTCTGGTCCTCACGTCTTATATACCTTTCTGCTTCCTGCCATCACTTCCTGGGATTAAAGGTTCTTGTTACCACCATGCCTGGCTGTTTCCAGTGTGGCCTTGAACTCACAGAGATCCAGGCGGATCTCTGCCTCTGGAATGCTAGGATTATAGGCGTGTGTGTCACCATTTTCTGGCCTCTATATCTAGTGGCTGTTCTGTTCTCTGATCCCAGATAAGTTTATTAGGGTGCACAATATATTTTGGGGAACACGATATCACCACAGTTGGGACAAAATTTAAAAAACAATGTGTTATGTGTGTTGGGGTGTGCGTGCGCGAGCAGGCACATATGCACGGATGTCAATGTGTGCACGTATGTGTAGACACCAGGGGACAACCTCGGGTTACAATCACATACAAAATACAATCTGCCTTGTATTTTGAGACAAGGTCTCTCACTGGCTTGAAGCTCATAATGGCTAGGCTGACAGGCCAGCAAGACTGGGGATCTGCCTGTCTGCCTCCCCAATACCGGGGCTTGCAAGAACACTGTGCTGCATTACACTTGTCTTTTGATGTGTGTTATGGGGGAGCAGACTCAGGCCCTCCTGCTTACCAGGGGAGCACTTTAATGGCCATGCTCCCCACCACACACTGTTTAGGACTCCCCATTCCTCCTCCTGGGTATCATGGGCAATACCTGTATCGTCTGTTTTAGGTGTTGATTTCACTAGAAATGGTTGTGACCTGACAGGCAGAGTTGGTAGAGGAAGCAGTCTTGTCCCCGAGTTAGTAAAAAAGAGTGGCTTGTGCAGTATAGACTCTGGCTTCCCTGGGATTTTGGAGGTGGGAGCTTACAGGCAAGGAAGAACACCCCTCCCCTGCGCGTCCTCAAGTTGTTGAGCTGCCATGGAGGCTTGCTGTCCTCACGTGCTTTTAATGCCTCCTAGTGGCGTGATAGCAGAAGGACATGCGGCTCCATCAGACACTGCTGGCTCTGATGGGTGCTGGTGCCAAGCTGGAGCATGAGAGATGGGAGGGGGGCCTGCCTCCCCACCCCCCGGGGGGATGCTGCCCCCAGGTTCTTTAGGACACAGCTCCCACAATCTGCTGTTGTTATATGCATATTTATGAATAACTTAAAAATAAACACCCCAACGTGGGGTACACTCAGTGAAGGGAGGTAAGGCAAACCCCATGATATTTTATCAGTGAGTTGGGAAGCAGGGGCAGGGACTCTCCATTGAGCACACCGAACCGAGCTCCCCAGGAGGGCCTCGAACTCTCTCCCAGCGTGCCCAGGACTAATCAGGCCTTTGTGTATCCAAAGATTCTAGACTAAAAGGAAAGATGAGGAAGTGGTGTGAGGAGGTATCGTGTCTTGACTTTTCATAATTAACTCTTTTCTCTACTCTTGACATTACCCTGTCGCATTTAAAACACAATACTTACTGATTTCTCTGGTGTAAAACAGTACACGTCCATTGTGTGATATTTAAGGGCTACAGGAGAGGGCCGAGGAAGCATGGCGATGTGTGGTTAACTGCTGTAAACATGTTGATGTGTTCCTGTGTTTCTTTTTGATTTTTATTTTCTGCCTTTTTTTTTTTTTTTAATTTGAGCCAGAACCTTGCTGTGTACCCCAGACTGGCTTCAAACTTAGAGTCTTCCTGCTCCATCTTTCTAAGCACTGTGACTCTGGCCTGCTTTTAAAAACCTGGGTAAGCTGGGTGGTGGTGGCACACGCCTTAATCCCAGCACTCGGGAGGCAGAGCAAGGCAGATCTCTGTGAATTCGAGGCCAGCCTGGGCTACAGAGTGAGTTCCAGGACAAGCTTCAAAGCTACACAGAGAAACCCTGTCTCAAAAGCAACAACAACCCCCAACACCCCCCCCCCAAGAAAAAAAAAACCTGGGTAAGATTCCTCCCTGAACATAATGTATCTAAAGAAGCATCTTCCCAGGCTGCTGTGATGTTTTGCAAGCTCAGTGTTTAATGGCCTCATAACAGCCACCCCTGTGGACGAGCCCTTTGAGGACCCTTCCTTAAAGTCACTCCCAAACAGGGAGCTACCAAGATGTTTGCCAGCCCCAGGATTTGCCAGGAAATTTACAGTCCTCTGTAATGGTGGTGGCCTGCTGTAAACTTTTTACAAGAACCTGCCTGCCTAGCTCAGCCGCACATTCTTTTCTAATTTTCCTATATTCTCAGTTTTCAAAACAGTGCCGGTAATGGAATGTATTGACCTTTCTGTGTTAGAAGCTGGGAGCAGAGGGTTGGGTGACTGCAAAGAGGCCTTCGGATGTGGCCCTCAGAGACAGTCTGGTTCCTCTCGCTTATTAGCAAAAACTGAGTTTCTCCATCATGGGGCTGAATGGACAGGGCTGAGCCTGGAGGGCTCAGATACACTACGCATTTTAATGGCTGCTTTCGGAGCTGGGGCCAGGCTCGCAGACAGCAGGGGCATGTGGAGAGGCAGGCCCAGCCTGGGCTTCTTCTACTGAGTGGCTACCAGGGCTCTAGACTAGATGAGGGTAACAGCAGAGTTGCTTGCGTGAGGCGGAGTGAGGCTGTCAGCCTTGCAGGTTGAGGCTCAGGGAGGCCCAGGATGCAGAAGGGCTGCAGCAGCAGGAATCACAGAGAAGGGAGAGAGCGCTAAGAACATTTGGGAGTAGAACGGGCATCTAATCCATGGGCTGATGGACAGGTGATCTTGGGATGGGAAGGCTTGCTGGTGGAAGGTGACAAAGGCTTCCATTTCTGTATTCCCTGCATCCTGCTAAGTTTACCTCTGCTAACAGTGTTCTTTCGGTGCGCACCGTGCTAAGAAGGTGCCCAGCTGTTTCCTGTGTCCTAATGCAGTGAGAGGGCAGGACAGTAATTCGTTTATTCTTTTCTTTAGGTCAGACTTGAAGCTCCGTTCCTTCATTATTGCGCTATGTACCGTGACGAACCTCGACATAAAATACTGGTTTTGGTTAATCCCCAGGACACAAAGACAGGTTGGTAGTTATTCCTTTTGTTTATTTATTCCTTTATCCATCCATTTATTTATTTATTTATTTATTTATTTATTTATTTAATGCGCATTGGTGTTTCGTCTGCACGTATGTCTGTGTGAGGTGTCGGATCTCCTGGAACTGGAGTTACAGTTGTGAGCTGCCATGTGGGTACTAGGAATTGAACCTGGGACCCTCTGGAAGAGCAGCTAGTGCTCTTAACCACTCAGTCATCTCTCTGGCCCCATGGTTGGTAGTTATCAGTGGATGTGGAGTGTGTGTTTGTGTGTGTGCATTGTGTGCTGAGGCTGAAAGCCAGGGCCTGGCCCATGCTAGGCAAGCACCATGACTGAGGCCCGTGTATAAGCCCGGATTTTGAAAACCGGGATCTTGATTTTTGTGGTTTGCAATACACGGAGGAGGGCAAATGCTTAGGGAACGGAGGCAATGTTCGTTGTTGAATTTGGAAGACTATGAAGGTAGTCTTCAAGGGTACCTTCTTCTCTTCATTGAGATGTGGGTCATTCTGCTTGTCTCCCCACCACAGTCCCTGCCCAGAGCTTCTTTGGGGGCTCCCCCTTGCTCACCCCATTAACAGCAGTTTACAGAGCTGTGGGCACTGGGTAGCACACTGTTGGGGCATCACCATGACCCTGTGGAATGAAGGGGCCATTCTCATCACCAAATGCAGCCAATGCTGGCCTTAGAGTGGTCAAGCACCTTGGTACAGGGCTCCAGCTAGAGTGTGGGAGGGCTCAGTTTTTGCCAAGTGACCACTGGGTGGGGGTTCAGTTTCTGGTGGCGATGGCCATGGGATCTGTGACTCATTTATCTCCCCCTGCATTTACAGAGAAACTATTTGGGGGAGCTTTTGTGACAGCTCCAGGGAGGGAGTCCTCTGGCAAGAGGCATAAATGTGGTCAGTTACATCTTAGGCAGAGGCTGGGGGGCACTGGCAGTGGGCAGCCTGTGGTGGGGAGGACTAGCTGGTTGGTCTGCCTGGACCCAGAACACCAGTGAGCTGGTAGGAGGTGCCTTACTTCTGAGCTCACAGCAAACAACCCTACATGGCATTTTTCTTGTTTTTTTTTTTTTTTTTCGTTTCTTATAATGCCAAGTATTGCTTTCCAGTAAGACGTAATAATACTAAGACACTGGTAATAAACTTTTAAACTAGTCAGGCCTCCTTAATGCTGACATTTTGGGATTCTAGGTCTTTTAACTACCATTTGCAAAGGAGGCCTGCTCCAGTTCTCCACGTCCCCTGGAGAAATGTTTTTGCTTGTCACCTGACTGTCTGCCCAGAGTTTGAGCTTAACCGGTGTCATGAGGTCCAAGGTGACATCTTTTGGGGGCAAGCTGTTGAAAAGTACGTAAGACGTTCTTCATGCTTCTCTTCTTGCTAAATGTGGAACAGAAGTGTGCTTAGCTAGCTGTCTGGGTGTTGGGGGTATGGTGGCAGAACCTCTTCTTATTGAGCCAAGGCTGGCAGAGGCTGTGTGAGAACTCTCGGACTGCAGTGAGAGTGCCTCCTCCCTCTCTCTATCCAGCTGAGCCTTGACTGCCCTGAAGAAAGGGTCTGTGATGATCTCAGGCTTTTGATACTACGTTGAGTTTGCAACCCTCCTACCAGGGGAGGAGTCCTTTGATGCACAGATTATGAAAACCTCTTAAAAGACTCATTTTAGGAAAACGTCTAAACATCAGCAAGCTCCCCCACCCCTTTTAGACTTTGAACAAGAATCTGGTTATAGGTCTCTTTAAAGACACTCTGTATGATGTAAACATCTGATGGATTCTTAGAGATCTGTTTCCCATTTGAACTGTACTTAATTTCTGTTGTTTTTTTAAGAGTATACCCTAATACATACTCAAAAGTGCTAAGAAATCTCACTGTGGTCCCATGCTCGTATGTGAGAGCGCTTTTAAACAAAGTTTCTGAGGGACATCCTGCTGCTGTGGGCTCCATCACTGCTGGCAGAGATGGTTTGTGATTTCAGGCAAGCACTCATGTTCTTGACGCAGCCCCGTGCACTCTAATCCCCTATTTAGAAGGCGTCTCGAGTTTTTCACAGGATGGACATCTTGGGACTTGAGACTTGCAGACCCTATCGTACAAGGATTCTTCACAGCTATGCCCAGTGTGTCTTCTGGCCCTGTGCTAAACTGTGTCTATGGAGAAGGGACTTGCTGGCTGCGGTGCCCTTATCTTTACGTTCTGGTGAAGGCAGCTGCATGTGCAAATGGAAGCGAAAGGGACCAGAAGCTGTTTGATCGGCCCTGTGTATGAGTTAATTATTGATAACTGTGTGTGAGTTAATTATTGATAAGCTGGTTGACTCCATTACAGTAACTTCCGATAAGTCTGTAAGCAAATGAGAAGCATCCTGGAACGGGCGGGTTCCCCAGTGGCAAGCAGTTGATGCTTGTGGCATCCTGTTCAAACGTGAGGGATGAAGCCTTCCACCATTTTCCCTCAGGAAATTGCAAATGCATTCCACACAAGGGTGGCTTCAGAAGCAGGCACTCTTGTCTCTGCTGCTCCTCTTTATTCCGATTTTCTACAGAGCGGCTGGTTTCTATTCCCTAAGGAGAAGTAGGCAAAGGCACTCAGCAGCCCCGCTTCCTATGTGGCCTCAGCTTCCGAGGGGCCTTTACACACTTCTTCATGCTTTAGTTCCCTCATTTTTTAATTATTAATTGATTTCAAGTGTTTATGAATATTAGAAAGTAAGTCCTCATGCCAAAGGAAAGGCGACCTTACCCCGTTTCCATGACTGCCGCCAGTGGTGACCTTCGCTTTTCTTATTTCTTCCTGTGTCCTGCATATGCAGTAGGACAAATGTGGACCTGGGTGTGGAGCGAGGCGACATGAAGTCTTGGTTCAGCCAACTGCCTGCAGGTGTCAGCTGGGCTGTTTGGCTTCTCTGAGCATCAGGGTCACCATTTACAAAACAGAGAACATCTTATACTTCCCAGAGTATTTGTGGAAACCGAATGACTTGTGGCAGAAACCATGATGCTTTGGGACCGTCCCAGAGAGAGCAGCATGCCCACAGTCCACCACAGCAAGCCTTGGTTCGTGCTCTTCACCTTCGCGTTTTCATCGTGTGAGAGAAACACATGATTTCAGAGGGCGAGGCTCATGTGCTAATTTCTGGCCAGCCCCTATGAGCGGGAATTGTGTCTCCAACAGACTCTGCCTGCCACACCACAGGCAGTCTAGCTTGACTTTGAACTACACGAACAGTAAGGTTGTTCTTCTACACACCCCAAAGTGCCTATTGGGTAAATGTCATATGCTTGATCCGAAACATCAGCTGATGAGGGGTAGGCTGGGGGACCACATGGGCAAAAAAGATAGGCAGGCATTCCTGTGGGGGGAGACGCCAGCTGGGATCTCGTGCTGCCGGAAGGGAGGAGTATAGTGTTTGCGACGACCTCCTTTGCCAGTCAGGCCCTGCCTGAAGCAAATGGTGTTTGTCCACAGAGTGTAATAGGGGACGAAGGGAGGAGTGGAACATTGCCTGAGGAGACCAGGCTGCAGATGAGGGATGTGGGGGTCCAGGGCTCCTGGTGGGAGCTGGAGAGATGGCGCAGCAGCTGAGAGCATTTACCAGGGTTTGAATCCTAGCATAGAACAAGCCAGGTGTCCCACATACCCCTTTAGCTCCAGTTCCAAGGGATCTGATGCCCTCTTCTGACTTCTGCATGTGTGTACACACACACACACATACACACACACACACACACACACACACACACACACACACACACCACATATATACTCACTCACTTTCTCCACACATACACACTCACACTACACTCGTACACTCACACCACACATACTCATTCACTCACACCACATACTACTCTCTCTCTCTCTCATGCACACATACACAGATAATAAACAACCAGAAGGTGGCCTTTGAAGGTATGCTGAAATCCTGTGGGTTTTAGGCACTGTGGCTTCCTTTCAGAAGGAGAAAATGGATCCTCTTGGAATAATTCTGTTTCAATTCTGAACATACTAACTTATCTCTGTTTCACATCTATCAACATTCAATTCTAAATATTTTATTTCCACTTCCTGAGAACAAGCCTTTCTTGCTCGACTAACTATTGATCCCACTTTAAAACAAGAAGGAGCAGGCTTCTAGCCAGATGTTCTGAGCTAGGGTGAGATGGATCTTCCTAAGACTTTGATCTGTACGGCAGTGATGCCTTGTTCGTAGCCAGGGTGCTAAGAGGACAGGTGTATGCAGACCAGTCGATCACTGTGTCTGGGGAGCTTTGGTCCCTGCACGCTGGGGTGGCTCAGGCCACTGTAGCATGCTGATGTGCCCACGTCCGTGTCTCCTTTCTGACCTGGCGCCTTCCACATTTGGGCCATCCAGGCTGGTGGGTGTGGCCTCCTCAAGGATGGTTCTTCTCAAGTTTGGGGGTCGCCTTTTTATGCTCTTCATCCTCTGGTTGTTGCTTCTGTGGTGTTCCTTCCGCAAAGTGGATCATGCAGGATCTGCATGTGGTGACCTTTTAAGGACGTGCCTCGTGGCATCTCAAGGCACTGCGTCATCTGCTCTTTCTAGTCCGTTCCCGACGTTTTGCATGCTCTTGGGAAGAGTAGGTTTCAATCCCGGGATCATAGTCATAGGCTCTGGCAGCTGTGGGATAAATTCCATGAGTCTAGAGCCGTTTGCCTTTGCCGTGAGGATGGCCCTCTGTGACCATCAAGCATTTGGCATTTGTTTTTTGAGTTCTGTTCTCCATGGCTGCAGCCAGCCAGCCAGCCAGCCTGCCTCCCTGGCTGCCTGCCTTTCTTCCTTCCATCCATCCTGTCTGCCTGTCTGTCTTTTCCTTCCTTCCTTCCTCCCTCCCTCTTTCCCTCCTTCCCTCCCTTCCCTCCTTCCTTCTACTCTACCCTCTATCCCTTCCTTCGTTTTTTTTCTCTGTCTGTCTGTCTCTCTGTGTGTGATAACACATCTGTGGAGGTCAGAGGACAG